ATATTATGTATTGATTTTGTTCTTGTCATCACATTTGTCTATATTTTATATGTGACTTATAAGTTATATATTATATCAATATGTATAATTTTAATTGATATAAGGATTAATTTTTGTATTCAATAAAATCATTCTTCTTTTTTAGTTTCTATTTAAATCTTAATTAAAATTTTTAAATACTCTTTTTTCTCTTCTTCTATCATTTTAATTTCTAAGAAAAAAATTAATAAGAATTAATATATCATAATTATGTATAATCTATTAAAGTATACAATATTTTATTTATATTTATATTATAATTATGATCACAAATTTAAATTTTGAAAGTTTAAAAATTTGTAGTATTTATATTTAATGATTTTGTTGTAATGTTTTTTTTTTTTTGTTGTTATAAAGTGTTATAATGATGATGATAAATTCAAAATTTTTAAATTAAAACTAATTAATCATAATAATTAAAATAAATTAAATATTGATAAGTCTGTAATTAGGCCCTCTTTTACAGCTTATATATTCATATTTGACTTTTATTTTATTTGAGTTTTACACTAATTTATATATTAATTTTTATAATTTATTACCCCTTTGTAAACTTAGGGGGTGTTTATAATTTTTATAATTTATTACCCATTTGTATATCTCCTTCCTTTCATTTACTCACCTCAATGATTATAATCCCTTAGCCACATTATAACCTGAAAAAGACCTCATAATTTTTACTTGCATTTAATTTATTTAGTGGAGAGTCAGTTTATAGTCAAGCCTATAGTAGTACACTCTTCTTTAGGAGAACTGAGTGATATCTTATTTTGTCTCTTAGTGAGAGAGGAAAGTAGAATACCTCAGTTTGATATTTGAGTGAAAAGTATGGAAATATAAGATTATAATTAGGAATCCTTTTGATTGCTTATGCGCAGTGATATTACTCTTGTTGCTCTCTTTATCTCCTCATCTCGGGTTCCTTGTGTGGTATTATGTTTTAAGTTATTATGTTACTCTTAACCAGCACTTTGCTTGAGAACAAGTAAACAGATAAGTATGAGGGAGTTGATAAGTCTGTAATTAGGCCCTCTTTTACAGCCTATATATTCATATTTGACCTTTATTTTATTTGAGTTTTATACTAATTTATATATTAACTGTGCAGTTTGGTACAAAGAGGCTGCAAGTGGATTTTTGGTGCATTCTGCGCCTAAATTGATGGAAGATTAGAGCTTCGCAGCAGTCAGCACGCCTAGACCCATTCAATAAGCACAGGGGTGCTTTAAGCCCATGCACGGTCGTGCTTAAGACCTTGCACAGTTGTGCTCATCTGCAGGAAGCCCAATTATAAAGAGTTTTTAGGGTTTTCAAACCCTATTAAAAGGAAGACCTGAGGCACCATTAGGAAGACCGTTTTTACATCTCGTCTTTGGCTTTCAGATACACTTCTCATCTTGTCTCTCTTGCACGAGATCCTTGGTACATGCTTGGCGACACTTGAAGCTTCAAGCGATCGTACTTGAAGACCGGGAACACATCTCACACTCTAGTTTGCTATTTCTTTTGATTATGGTTTTGTTTATGATTGTTTTAGTTCTTTTCTTTAGCATGAGTAACTAAGTCCATAGCTAGGGCTATGGGAACTATTGTTATGAATTTATGGAATTTTGATATTTAAATTTAAATTTAATTTTTGTTTTGTGATTAGATTTTATCTTATTGCGCTTCTTTCTTAATCCTAATTAATTATATCGTCAGGCGACCATACCTCGGTTAATTAATAGATCTATAGGGTAAAACGAGACAAATGATTAGGTGAACAAAACCAATCTTTCTCTTTTAATTGTTATTAAATTAACAAGTTCATAGGTTCCTCAAGTTTTCTTAAATTGATGTCTTGCATGACCATTAGGGATATTAATTTAGAGAAAAGAATATTAATATTGCATGACCATTGGGTATTAATTGTATTCGTATGAATGATTGGTAATCACAAGGAAATCATATTTAGAGTTAAACAGAAGAATAACATAAAGGATTGAATGAGAAAACTCATATGTCCTATGTTCCTCTCCGATAATTTTAACCAATACGTGCATTGTATTCCTTGCTCTTAGTTTTATAATTGATTTTATAAATTCTTGTTTTTAATTAATCTCGTATATTTGAAGCTTAAACAATTGAATTAGAAAATTTTTAGTAATTAGAAATCAATCCTTGTGGAATGATATTTCAGAAACTTAATTTAAGAACTCTTTATTACTTCTCGATGGGTACAAATATTATTAAATATTATAACAATAAAAATAGTTATTCATCAATATGATTTGATATTTAAATCTTTGGATAACTGTTTGATTTACATATTTAATAATTTTATATCAAAATAAATGAATAAGTACAAAAAATATAACATTTTAACTCCGATTTAAGTTTGACTTTTATATTTAATTAATATATATCATTTATTTTAAAAGTTAATTAGAGTTTTTATCCCTTTAATTTTTTCTTCACATTCAAACATTTCCTTTTATGTGCTTTTAAAATTTTTTGAGTATGAAGTCTAAATCTTTATAACTACAAAAAGACTTACAACGTAAGAAAGACAAAGGTTAGTGTTAAAATATTATAAAAATATTCTCTATATTAACATGTTAAATTATATTTATTTATTAGTATTCCATATTCTAACTATATAATTATTCAAAATTTTGAAATTGGAAAAGAAGTTTCAATGTTTTCAAAAAATTTTCTAAGAACATTCAATTATAAACACGGAAAACAATGCTTCTTAATGAAAAAAGTCAATCATTTGTGAACTTACAATTAGTTCTCAAGATATAAATTAAATACGGATATTATATGTTAAAAAATTAAATTAATACAAATATATTTTTTATTGATATAATTATTTATTATGTTATATTCTTAAAATTATATATTTTTAATTTAAATATTTAAAAAATAATATTTAAATTAAATTCACTAAATTATACTTTGTTATATTTAATTAGGTATTTAATAAAAAAATTATAATATTAATCAATATTAATTCTATTAAGTTATCAAGCAATATAAAATAAAAAAAACTTAATTTTAAACTTTTAAGTTAAACATATATATTGCATTATTATTAGTTTTTATTTACAATATTTTTGTATAGTAATTTTATTTATGTAAAAAATATATATATTTTTAGTTTTAGGTATTAACATATAGTTTTATATATATTTATATTGAAATTATATTTTTAAAATTTTATACATTAGTTAAATAAATATAATTTTATTTTTGTATATATTAGTCAAATGAGTTATTTTTTTTAAATATTATATTATTTTTTTATAATGATATCATAAAATTTTTATCAGCAATTTTAAATTATAATTATAAATAAATAAATTATCATATAAATTTAGGTTAATAAATATAAATAAATGCATAAGTGAAAAATTATAAGATATTTTATTTAAACTTTATAACTCATTAAAATATTTTTGTTATATTTAATAAGTTATTGTTATAATTATTTATTTTAAAATTTTATAATAATGATATAATGAAACAATATAAATTTTTTTAGATTTAAAAATAAAAAATTTTATGTTATTTAAAATAATTTCATAATTTTATTATAGATATTCTTTTAGTCTATCAAATATTTTAAATTAATATAATTAAATCTAAAAAAATACTAAATTATACATATTTTAATTTTATAGTACTGTTCTAATATTATAATATTTTTTAAATAAATTTATTTATATAATAATAAAAAAATAATATATTTTAATTTGCATAGATTACGTTTTTTTTATGTATTTATGCTGAAATTATTATTATTACCATTTTTAATAAAATTATGACAGTAATAAAAAAATATCTTTATTTATACTTTACTTAATCAACATATTCCTTTTATTCTATCATTTTAATTTTATTTATTTTTATCTATTAATAAATAACTAAAACTAAAAAATATCAAAAATATGTATTATATTATTATTAATTTATTATATATCATAAATTTGTAAATTAATTTATTTTTCATAATCATAAAAAGAAATATTTTTTAAGTAATAAATAAAATATTTGTTAATGTTATCATTAATTTTTAAAAAATTAGAGAATTTTAAAAAAATTTAAGTATGTTGATATTTATTTATTATATTTTATTTTAAAATAAATAATAATATGTATCATAATATATATATTAAAAATTTACTTATTTATTTATTAATATTTTTTTAAGATTTAACATATTTAATTTAATAAATTTTTTATTATATTTATATATTTTTTATTTTAAAATAAATTTATTTAACACAATTAAAACAAACTTGTGTAACGTACAGACATATTTATTAGTATAAAGATGTAAAAAATTTCGATAAGAGCAATTGATCTTGTTAGCCCCATTGTTGATAGGTTTCCTTAAGTTTCCTAATATCTCAATCTTCTTCATTAAAAAATCATGGTGGAACCTCATGATTCACAACAAATCAATGAAGATGATGAGTTTTAATTACTACCTCAACTTGTTATTTATATATAAAAAAAAAAAGTATTCTCGTTAAGATATATAAAGATGGTGTAAGAGAATATAATTGAAACATTAAAAGACAGTCTATGATGAAACACCTTATTTCAATATAAATAAAAGGATTGCTTGTACTATAACTACCTGGGTAAAGATTAAAAGACTATGTTCTGGCTGCCGAGTACCACTTGTACTAATTTCCATATTAATAAAATTAAAATGATGCAAATTAAGACAGTAAAATTATTACCGAGCAAGTTAAATTTGAATTGATGAATGTCCGATTTGTGTTACTAATTAGTTCATGATTCATGATTACAAGATTATTCGAGTAGCTGTCAACTGAAAAAAAGAAAAACCTAATCACTGATTTTTTGGTGGTGTTGATGATAGAAATTTGAGCACCTCAGATGTTGGACTAATGTTGGAAATAATAATAACAAATAATGAATGCAGCACGGGATATGTTTAAATAAAACGGAGCATCTCAAATGCTAAGCCACTTGGTGGGGGCCCTTGCGGTTTAATTTCACAATCCAATTGTTAAATATATTGATTATATTCCAAATGCACACACATTATATCTCTTATTCTTTATCCACAACTATATCCTCAATGACAGAGCTCCAACTTCCAATCAATGATATCGTTATCTTCACTCAATTCATATATAAAAGGAAAAGGGACACGACACATACCTCACAAAATTGCTAAAAGAAAACTCCAAAAGCCTATTTTGGCTTTAACATAATTTCCTTTTATTTTCAATTCCCATTTATCAATATTATTATTAATTTTCCATCCTGTTATTGGTCACCTGAAAAGTGAAAACTGAAAAACTGCCCCCAAATCACGTACAGAAAATCATTATATTGGTAGGGCCAACCACACAAACAGTAAACACAGCCTTAGCACACTGACCCCACCCCGCGAAAGTTTGACCGAGATATAAAACGACGTCCAACCCATTGTTTTATTGTCGTGTGATCATCCGTTTCCACCGCTTACCGTCGTTTCATCACCGACTTATAATTTCACTCTCAGTCCCGAGTTTTCACTATCACTACTGTGCGTTGCGACTTAACCCCCTCACACGGCCTCCGTTACGTACTGCATAAACTCCACGTCGTTTTCAAGCCCCGCCATCGTTTCAGGGGCCAAGACGACCTCAAGATCGACGCTGCCGTTTCCTTCTCTCCCCGGAAACGCAGAGATCTTGCCGTCAAACTTGTTCGCTTTTCCGCTCCGAATGGCCAAGGGCCTACCCCACCCGAAGTCGTTGTTGTACATAGGAAAACGCGGAGAACTTCCCATAGTGATCATTGCGCCGTCAAAGTTCCCAAGCGGGAACAACCTCGGTGCGTTCTCCCAATCCTCTATGCCGCGGCGCACCGTAGCGTCGTCGTGTGAGACGACGTTTCGGTGAAGCAATTCCGCGCAAAAACGCAGATCTTTTGAGATTATGTCTCCAACGGTTGCTACCGTTGGAATGCTCTGAATAGCATTGCCGAAGTAAAACGGATTCATCTTCGGTTCCAACCTGTGGCGGCAATTAACCGCCATACGAAACGTCGACGTTTTGGAAACATCCAAATATTTCCTCGCACGCGTCACCGCACGCCAAAGCTGAGCGGACAACGACTGAAACGATGAGATCTCGTTCCTTCCGTTTCCGTTAGCCAAGCGCGTTGTCGTTATCTTTCCGTTACCGTTAGCGATTTTCCAACCGTCATTAACCTGTTTTCCCATGACTTCCACGGATTCCGTTAATTCGTTGATATTGCCGTTGGCTCTTTGTTTGAGCCTCTGTATGGCTTCGCGGGAGAAGTGGAAGACTCGCTCCCGGAGAGGCTCGTCGGCGTCGAAGGTGACAGTGGGGCCGCCGGAGGGAACGGAGAGGACGGCAGCAGAGTTGAAGATGGTGTCGCGAGTGAAGTCCGGCGAGCAGAGCACCTTCTTGGCACCGGCGCCCTTGGTGACGGCGGCGAAGGTGTTGAAGAAGTGCCAGAAGGAGGTGCCGTCGGTGACGGCGTGGTTGACGGTGCAGCCGACGAAGACACCGTCGGCGAGCTCGGTGACTTGGACGGCGGCAAGGGGGTTATGGTGGCCGGAATAAGATATCGTCATGTCGTAGGCGAAGAACTCCTTAAAGCAAGGGTGAACGTCAACAAGTGACGGTGAAACGACAGCGTTCAGAGTTAAGTGCTTGGCCTTAGCGTGGATGAAGTCGACGCCAGCGTCGTTGCAGTCGATGTAAGCGTAACCGGCAGAATCGGTGGACAGCCTGCCCGCGAGGGCGGGGAAGTGAGAGAGTGCGATAGAAAGAGAGTGTTTAAGAGATACAATTAGGTCTTCGAAGGAGTGGGGTGGGGCAGTGAGTAACACACCCTTTTGGATGTAGTGGCATGACAACATTGGAAGGTCAGAAACAGAGAGCTTCAAAGGTTTCATGTTTGATTCTTGGTCCGGGTAGATTGTGCATTTAGAGACTATGGTTGTGGAAGAGGAAGGCATTTTGGTGAGATGTGTGGTATGGATTCTCTTCTGGTTTTGGTTTCCTCGTGTTGGGAATGCCTTGGTGGTTTCCTTCTCAGCGCTGGCCTTTTTATAGGTGAAGATCCAAGGAATGGGGTGGCGTTTCTATTTTATTTTCATTTTTCTTTTTGTTTGAAAAGTTGAGTGAGCATTTTGGTTCAGCAACCATTCGGTGACGTGGCTAACGATGGTGCTTGGATTGGACACGTGCTCTCTAGGACTGTGGGTCTTGATAACATTGGAAAATAACATGTTATTTTCGTAGTTTGAGCTTTCATTTCTCTTACATTTGTGCGAGTCAGTATTTTATCCCTTCAATTAAATTAAATTAAATTAAATTTTTAGGATTCAGTGTAAAGATTTCAAAATAATAAAATTTTACTTTTTTATTCTGTATAATATCGTGTAGGTTAAAAGTTTTATATAATAATTTTTTATTAAATATTATAAAATTTAATACAATTTAATATATTAAAATTATTAAATATTATAAAATTTAATAAAAATTTATAATATACAATTTGGTATTTTCATCTCTTTACTTGACTAATCTCTACATACAAAAAATATGTATAGTAATATCTATTTATACATTTATTTTCAATTTAATTCATCACATTTAAATTATATGTTATTTGCTTCGTCTCGCTCCTTAATTCTTAATCATCAATATCTTATCTTCAATATAATTATATTTCACATATATGCCAGGTCTAACAAAATTATTATCTCTTCTCCTCTTTTTATCTCTTCAATTATTTTACTCTCGACACTACTAACTTCCTCACTAACACCACATACTCTAAGTTGGATTTCCTTAATAATGTCTCCCAAGTCAAGAACTCCTCAAAATCTTATATGATAAACCTACTTGAAGTGGCAAAGGCAAATCCCACATGAAATTTATAAATTGGTGTTAATGGTACTTCCATATTTATAGTATGGTATAATCTTTTAGAGTTATCTAACTAGTGTAGATCATGTGTGCATGTAGTGTGTGACGCTCTAAATTAATTGACCACTTTTTCTTATTTTATAAATATTTTTTAATAAAATACTAAATTGAAATAGGTAAGAATTATAAATAAATTAGAAAAGTTCATATTTGTATGAATCTTAAAATAATAGAAGTTAGTAAAATTTTTAAAACTTTAGATATCTGTCCCATTCATTAAACAATTACAAGTAAAATCACATTAGTTTTATTCATAATTGAGCTGAAAATTTATCTTCGCAATTTAAATTTCTAATTAAAGTAAGGATTGAAATTACATTTAAACAACTAACTTGCTTTATTTTGCACGTGTGCTCGCGCACATACACATTTCAAGTAGAATAATTAACCTACTAATTATTATAAATACATCTCAATTTATTATTTACAACAAAGTTTATCAAAATATTTTAAATTCTAAAATTGACATTAAAATACTTGCATACCATTATCAACTATAATTAAGATTCAATCAAAATTATTACAACGTCAAAATAATTTAAGTCCTAACAAAACAAGTCCTTCTTTATACAAAACAACTGAAAATATGATCTTAGAACGGATCAATCTTCATCAAATATACTACTCTCATTTACCTCATTTGCTTTTTCATTTTTATTTTCATTTCCTGAAAATAATTGTAAGGGTAAATATTTTCCACCCCACTGAATCCTTATTTTACAAATAAACAAATAATATAAAAATGTTAATTGAACACAAGTATGCACTAAAATAATAATAACTCATTCATATATATTTCACCCAAAAGTTACCACAATACAAAGTTTCACACTCAACCAAATCTGATTGCATACTTCATGAATTCACACCACTTTAATCATCTCAATTACAATGTATCCATCATTTATCGATACTTTTAGTACTCACGAGTCTCAAATAGCTACTAACATGTCTCATCATGAAGGATTTATGCCGGTATGGATAGTCGTCAGATAGCCACCACATATGAATACAACGTTAGAGTGTTAGAGTCACTTAAATACTCTTTTTTCCCTAATTATCACTTGGGCAATGTCATTCTCACTTGAACGACACCAAATATGTGTGAGAGTGATCATTTTTGCTTGAACAACATAACTTCTCACTTGAGTGACATAAATTCTCGCTTGAGAAAAAATATCTTCACATTTGTTGATAATTTTACCTAAGTAAGATTCTTTCTAGCTTGAGTGAGATCATTCTCACTTGGGCAAGATAGACTCGCTTGAACATAACCTGATACTCTAGAGAACTTTATTTTATCACTCCATTCTCACTTGAGCAAGAGGGTTCCTTGCCTGAGTGAGAGAAATTCTCGCTTAAGTGGAAACTATCTCGCTTGAGCGAGAATACTCTAAAAGCATTCCTTCTAGATCAAGCAATCTCGCTTGAGCAAGAAATGTTGCAGTTTTCAAAACCAAAACTAGACTACTTTTAAAAACAAATGCAATAAAAAATGAAGTGTTATAACTCTTTTACCCTTTTAAGAATTTCATCGCTAAAATTCACTCATCAATAGTCATACTCTATACAACCTTATAGACCTCTATCTTTTCTATAATCATCTTGACTTGCTCTTTGTGCTTCTTTTAATATTATCCACTTTAATTCCTCCACTTGAGAAATACATACTCTATCTTTAAATTTGATGAGTTAGTTAACTTTGCAATAAAACTCCATATCTTTTTCTTCTTCCTTCTATCATATCATATCTTGCAAATACTTATCTCCTTGTCGCGCATCTCTAATTTGCACTAAGAAGTTATTGCTAATCTCCAAAGATTTCAAAATAGACTCTTATGCCTCACTTTTAATGCTAAGTTCAAGTTTCTGAACTCTTCCATCAATTGACATTCCTTTACCATCATTACTGAATAGCACAACAATTTCATGCTTAACATATGTTGCTATAACATTTCCTTTGCTAGAATGATATAACCAATCAAAATCGTAATTCTTCAAAAGCTCTATCTACTTACCCATTGCACACTTAACTTTTTTGGACTAAACAAGTGTTTCAAAATTTTATGATCGCTAAACACTTCAAGTCTTATCCCATAAAGATAGTGCCTAAAGATCCTTAATGCGAACACCACTAATGCTAATTCCAAAACATGCATCGGGTAATTTAATTCATATGACTTTACCCACCTAGTAGCATAAGCAACTACCCTTTGCTTTAATTCTCGCCTTGATATTTTGCAATAAACTTCAAGCTTTCTTAATTCTCTCAACAAAACTTACTCCTTCCAAGCCAATTTAGTTAGCAATAATGCTAGTAGAGAAAATCTCTTAATTGACCCATAAGATCATTTACCCTCAGCAATAGGTACTTATCATTGATAGTCACTTAATTAGGCCGATGATGAACCACCTGTCACCATCTTTCTTTTTTATTAAAAGTACAAGTACTTCCTATGATAACACGCTTGGTCTCATAAACCATTTCTTCATAAATTCTTCCACTCGATTATTCACCTCAGTTAGCTCCATCAACAATATATTATACAACACAATCGACATCATACTAGACCCTGACACGAGACCTATAACAAATTTGAATTCCCTTTCATGTAGTAGCTCTACCACTTCCTTCAAGAATTTCTTCCATGAGTATAATTTCACATCAAAAGAGTTATCAACATCAAAAGAAACAACGCTACAAAAGCTCTAACATTTTCTACTTTTATTGAGACATCCACATTCAGTATTTAGAAATATTTGGTGCACGAGCATCGAGAACTAAGGCTTTATCCTTGCATAAAAAAGGACATGATTGGATAAAATCCAATCCATTCCCAATACCATATCTTAATGAGAAAATGACAAGCAATTCAAAATACTAGAAAAGATTTGCTTTAAACTGTTATAGAACAGCCTAAGCATGTATTAGAAGTAACAACTGGTTCATCAATTAAAATAGACACTATGACATTATATGTCCAAGTAGATATAGGCAAAACAAGGATTATCACATGATGAAAGGATGTGAATGAATATATAATTCCAAAATCATACAAAATGTCAATAACTCTACTATTTATAATGCATACCAATAGTTTCTAACCACATGTCTTTCTCTCAATGCATGCAATTTGAAATTAAGTTTGGTACATTCTTTCACCAAATGAGGTCCCCTATAGCGATAGCCACAAATTAAGGGTGACATAGAATAGTCTTTGACCACATGAGATCACTTGCATCAGAAATGTTTAACCATACAACGAGAATTTTTGCTATGGCTATTGTCACTACAAATTTATGCCCCATTTGCTTGAGTTTGAATTGCACTTTGGTACAACTTTTTTTAAAAGATTAGAGGTTTCTTATCATGCCTAACAGGTCCTCCTATCCTATTGTCCATTGATCTTCCCTCCAAAATACATACGTACAACATTTGCCTACCAATGTAGGAAAATCAGTTAGTTGAAAAATACAAACTGCGGTACGGATCTCTATTCTCAGTCTATTCTCAAATTGCGTGCATAGATCTTCACCACCTTCTTTATGTTGGTAATGAGAACAGTATTTCATCAATTCATGGAATTTAGCCGCATACTTTCTCACTATTATATCTTCTTGTTTCAACTCTAAGAATTCCCTAGCCTTTTGTTTCTTCACATCTCAAGGGAAATAGTTTCCCAAGAAGCTCATTTTAACAGTTTCTCAAGCAATATATCTATTCACTAGTAGTAGATCTTGACTCGCAAACCTCCATCGGTCTTCAACTTCCCCAGTGAGCATATAACTAGCATACAACACCCTATGTCCTTCATAATAACCCATTGCATTAAAGACTTTTTTTCTACTTCATCAATCCATCTTTATGCTCCTTTTAAGTTGAATCCTCCTTCAAATTTTGGGGCATTATGCTCAATGAATGTAGACACACTCTGGTATTTTGCTGGCTACGCACCTCTATCATGTACTAGAGTAGGTAGTACTTAAGTCATACGTGCCAGAATCGCATTAGTGGTTCCAACTGGTCTACCTCTACCTGCCATATTCTAGTTCAAAGAAACATGTCATATGTATGTTAGCAAGC